CAACCCCTCAGAGGACCTCAGATGATGCCAACCCTGAAACAACATACAGAACTACCACATTTTGCTATAAGTTTGATTGCATCATATAATAATTGCTGTTAATAGTGTTCATCGTCTGTTTGATTACGTCAATAATTGATTACGTCTTTATTTGATTTTTCCCTATATTTCTGCCATATATATTAACTGACAGTCACCACTGATAAGCTACCACTAAATATTGTAGAAACTTAATTTGCTATTAAGTTGCTTTGCAACAATTTGTATCGTGAAAAGCGCAATACAAATAAACTTGAATTGAATTAAACTTTGACTTAACTGGCATGATGTGAGCAGGCCCTGGAGTAGCAGGCGTGATGCGAACAACTCCAGACCTGACGGTCGAGATGTGAAGAGGCTCTGGTGTGGTGGGGTCATATGATGCTGCTAAAAAGAACATTATTTGGAGTATTTGGTGTAAAGAAATGTGTTTATACGGTTTAAGGTTAAAAAAACACATTATTTTCAACATACTGTACATTATTGTTTCTCCTCTATGCCCTGCCTTTCTGAAACGCGTCGATTTTTACAAAGCTCATTGTTCTGAAAAAGCGAGGTGTGCTGTGATTGGCCAGCTTTCCAGTGCGTTGAAACTTTGACTTAACTGGCATGATGTGAGCAGGTCCTGGAGTAGCAGACATGGCGTTAGCAGGCAGCAGGCTCTGGCTTGGCAGACAAGACGTGAGCAGACCCTGGAGTAGCAGGCGTGATGCGAACAACTCCAGACCTGACGGTCGAGATGTGAAGAGGCTCTGGTGTGGTGGGGTCATATGATGCTGCTAAAAAGAACATTATTTGGTGTATTTGGTGTAAAGAAATGTGTTTATACGGTTTAAGGTTAAAAAAACACATTATTTTCAACATACTGTACATTATTGTTTCTCCTCTATGCCCTGCCTTTCTGAAACGCGTCGATTTTTACAAAGCTCATTGTTCTGAAAAAGCGAGGTGTGCTGTGATTGGCCAGCTTTCCAGTGCGTTGTGATTGGCCGAATACCTCAAGCATGTGACGGAATTCTTACGCCCCTACCATATTGTGATGATGCCCTGTCAGGCCGGAGTGATGATGATTCAAAAACATGAAACCCCATTATAATCGAGGCATTCGTTGCATCCAGTGGGGACATAATTATGGATTATAATGAATTACTTATACGGTCATATGTTGCATCGCACCGCGTAAACATAAAACCATGTCTGCATTTGTGATCGGAGAAATGACAACACTCCAAAGAGAAAGGAAAAATTGAAATCACATCATATGACCCCTTTAAGCAAAAAAGCTAAGGCATTATCTAGTGTGTAATCTAATTAAGAAGACCATGACCCCAAGATCCTGCCCAAGTTCAAGTCCACAAGATCCATACCTGTGTTATTTTAATATTATTTACAGTGCCGTGAAAAGGTTTTTGCCCCCTTCCTGTTTTGTTTATTTTTTGCATATTTGTCTCACGTAAAAGATTCAGATAATCAAACCAATTTTTATATTACGCAAAGATAATGCAAGTAAATACAAAATGCAGTTTTTAATTGATAATTTCATTTATTAAGGGAAAAAAGCTGTCCAAACCTTCGTTACATCTGGCGTGAAAGCAACACAGCATTTCATAAGAAGAACATCATACCAAGAGTCAAACATGGTGGTGGTAGTGTGATGGTATGAGGCTACTTTGCAGCTTCAGGACCTGGATGACTTGCCATAATTGACGGAACCATGAATTCTGCTCTCTGTCAGAAAATCCTGAAGGAGAATGTCCGGCCATCAGTTTGTGACCTCAAGCTCAAGCGCACTGGGTTTATGCAGCAGGACAATGATCCAAATTGAAAAAAAAGTCAAAGACTTAAATCCGATTGAGATGCTGTGGCATGACCTTAAACAGTTCATTCATGCTCAAAAACCCTCCAATGTGGCTGAATGAAAACAATTCTGCAAAGAAGAGTGGGCCAAAATTCCTGTGAAAGACTCATTGCCATTTATCGCAAACACTTGATTGCAGTTGTTGCTGCAAAGCGTGGCACAACCAGTTATTAGATTTAAGGGGCAATTACTTTTTCACATAGTGCCAGGCAGGTTTGGACAGCTTTTTTCCCTTAATAAATGAAATCATAATTTCAAAACTGCAGTTTGTATTTACTCAGGTTATCTTTGTGTAATATTAAAATTTGTTTGATGATCTGAGTCTTTTAAGTGTGACAAATACGCAAACAATTAAAAAAACAGGAAGGGGGCAAAAACTTTTTTCACACCACTGTATATAATTATAATTATTATATATTATTTTATTAATATGACAATGCTTTTATTTTTATATGTTCAGATTTTTTAATTATTATGTCATTTTGTTATGTGTTTTTGCCATTTTTATTAGTTTTTAAAAAAATATATTACTATTTAGTTCAGATTTGGTTTTTTGTTTATTACCAGTTAATAATTTCAGTGCTTCAAATTATTTAGATTTTATTAATATTGTAAATAATCTTAAAATTTTGATTCGATTTTAATTATTGTCTATTAATTTAGTTTTGTTCTTTTTATTATATATATATATATATATAACTTACGTTTCATCTATTATTATTTTAGTTGCAGTTTTAGTTTAGTTTGAATTTTTTATGTATTAACAGTACCAGTAATTTAAGTGCTTAATTTTAGTTTGTTTGCAAGGCAACATTTCAAATTTGGTCTTTTCAAAAGTTTCAAAAGTTTTTTTGTCTAATATTTATATTTTATTTCAGATTTATTTCAATTAACAGGAGTAGTTTTAGGTAATGATAATAATATGTCCCTCCCATACCTACCTAATCGAGACCCTTTTATATCCCTAGATCTATTCTGAGAACGAACCCCGCAAATCGAGACAATGGGTTGTTATTATTCCATTATTAATACCAATCAATTCCAAATGGCATTGATTTCTGCAGCTGTAGTTCTTAACGCAGGCAGCAGATGTCGCCGTTTCTTCTCACTGAACAATAAGCAGCATGAGGCCAACATACCGCCTTTATCACTATATATTTTCAACAGTGCTCGCCTGCTCACGTTCAGCTGCGCCCATAGAGGATAGAGCGAACAGAAACAATACCGTTCCCTGCCAAAAAACTGGATATCTCACAACGGTGAGTGCAGCGGACTTTTATGTTTATATCAATTTTATGTTTAAATTCCGTAAACGAGATAACATCCAGTTATTTTCAGGAGGTAAAATCTCATGTCAGGGATGTGAGCCTGGGATCAACAGCAGTCCGCTGCTGGATATAGAGGCGAAGAAAGGACCCTTATCAGCCACTAACTCATGCTAACTGACCTGCTAACTGTAGCCGGAGGATTGTTACATTCACTGTTCATTAGCTACCTTTCGGGTTTATTGGTTTGGTAGTTTCACGCTAAAATCTGTATACTGTGGTGGTCTGTGTCTAGCTAATTTAAAGGCTTAGCGGCTGATCCTGAGCGTTAGCGTTTGGCTTTCCTGCCGCAGATGATTGACGAGTCTCTGGTTGCTCCGGTTGACTGACCGGTCAAATGTGTAGGCTATACGTAGGTTTCTTGTCCTAACGTGTTTCTCTTTATTGTGACTCTCACCTGGCTTTTATCTGTCTGGTCTTTAATGCGTCAAGGATACATTGTAGCAAACCACAGGCTTGTACGTTGTAACAGAATTCTTCATTATATTGTAGCATAGTAAGCGTGAAAGAGGGCAGTGCTTTCCTTTCATGTCAGTGGTCAAGTGCACATCAAGTCCATCTGTTTATTAACAACAGTATTGCAATGAATCATTGAACTCCTTACATAAATTGACCATGGTAACAACAGTCTCTGCCAAAATTACATAGTTAATACAACGATCGAGTACTGTACTTCTGCTCAAATAAGCTTTTCAGCAGCCTTTCTGTCAATGTCATGACTGTACAGTTTAATATGATGTTACCACAATTACTGTTGTAGTAGCTAAGACTAGTAGAGAAGTTGACTTAACACAGGCTAGTGATGGATTCCATGTGTGTATATATACGATCCTTCCAAAGTATGGGGTCAATAAGAATTTTTTGAAAATGAATAATTTTATTCAGCAGGGATGCATTAAATTGATCAAAAGTGATAGCAAAGACACTTCTAATGTTACAGATTTAGATTTAGTCATTTAGCAGACGCTTTTATCCAAAGCGACTTACAATTGGGGGATACATAAAGCGATTCTTCTTAAAGAGGCAAACAGACACAGGAAGTGCTTGTAATACCAAGTTCTTAGACATTGTTCAAATAAGTACGAGCTAGAAAGAGAAGGAATAAATAAAGAGAGAGAATTTAAATTTTTTTTGATGATGAAGTCAAGTAGCTTAGAAAGAGATGAATTTTCAGCTGTTGCTTGAAAATTGTCAGGGATTCAGCATTCCGGATAGGGGTGGGAAGATCATTCCACCAGCCAGGAACGGTGAACGAGAATGTTCTGGACAGTGATTTTGAGCCTCTCTGTGATGGTACCACGAGGCGTCGCTCACTAGTGGATCTCAGACTTCTGAAGGGGATGTAGATTCGTAGTAGTGAGTGGAAGTAGGCGGGTGCTGAGCCTGTGGCTGTTCTATATGCAAGCATCAATGTCTTGAACTTGATTCGAGCCGCAACCGGTAGCCAGTGCAAGGAGATAAAGAGAGGTGTAACATGGGCTCTTTTGGGCTCGTTGAAGACCAGTCGTGCCGCTGCATTCTGAATCATTTGTAGAGGTTTGATTGTGCTTGATGGAAGTCCAGCCAGAAGAGCATTGCAGTAGTCCAGCCTAGAGATGACAAGGGCCTGGACAAGAAGTTGTGCAGCATGCTCCGTTAGAAAGGGCCTGATCTTTCTGATGTTGTGCAATGCAAACCTGCAAGATTGAGCGGTCTTTGCAATGTGGTCTTTGAAGGTCAGCTGGTTATCAAAAGTTACACCAAGATTTCTGACTGAAGTTGATGGGGTAATTGTACAGAAGTTTTATATTTTAAATAAATGCTGTTTCTTTTGGAGGAAACTGGTTACCATAGTACTTTTTTTCTGTAGGAGACTTTATCTTTTATAAGCTAGTTCAAACATGCTGAGCATATTCAAAAACCCATGTGAGGGGGGAAACCCCCCCGAATATAAAGCTAATATTCTGTGCTATAAAGAGACTGATGCTGATGCAAATGAAAATTAGAATAACCAATGTACTAAGCGTTCTGACATCTTTACTGCTTAAATTAGTCTGTATGCTGGATTTGATTAACATGCCCACTTATATTTATTGGTATAATGCATTATTAATAATTATTATCATAATATATGTTACTACCTTTATTGTTTATACAAGCTAGGGTTCACTAGAAATTTGTTTTTGCATTTATATTTTAATGTTGATCTCAAATTATGAGTAGCACTAGAACTAGTAGAGTAGGTAGTATTAGGTACTATCACGTTGCATTAAGCGTGCATTGCATAAAGCCTTTCATGGGGAAGAATTGCCTGAATTGCCTTCTTGTATTATGGGGAAGAATTTGGCCCCTTGTTAATGGAGCTTGTTTGGATGATGAAGTCTCCCGCTGGTGGGAAAATAAGAATGTTAGAGCCCCGTGGCTTTCATAGCACCTCCCTAATGCTTTATACCCTGTTTGTTTCACATATTTATAGTGAATGAGACAGTATATCCATTACTCTAAAACCAGTAAATTTTGCTGTTCAGGTAAATATTGTCATGCCACATTATGGGTACAGAAGTTTGTTTCTTGTGTGAAGGCCAGTCAAGGAATTCTACATAATATGGCTTTACTTTTTCACAAAACTATTGCATATTGTAAGGCAGGATGTTCATTTGCAGTTCATTAGGAAATTATGACTTGACTGGCGTCTAAAAGATTCTAATTGTGCAAAGAAACATGAAAGATGATACAATTATTGATGCTATGGTATTTTTCTCTTTCCAGGGAGCCATAATTAGTCCATTCTGGATGTACAGAAGTCACTCTGTCTCTGTATGGAAAAATCGCTTACTTGTGAAAACATTGGTGCTTCTGTAGTGAACCGCAGACTACTTTTGGGGTCAGTATGTTCAACTTAATGAAAAAAGACAAGGAGAAGGATGGCGTTAGGAAGGAGAAAAAAGACAAGAGAGACCGGAGGGAACGTATGTCAGCAGCTGAGCTCCGAAGCCTTGATGAGATGAGCATGAGACGGGGTTTCTTCAACCTCAACCGGAGCTCCAAACGGGACTCCAAGAACAAGTTGGAGATCTCGAACCCGATCCCTATTAAAGTCGCCAGCAGCACTGAGCTCAACCTGACTGACATTGAGTCGGACGGCCTCAGTAACCGCAGCAGCATGGTCCTGGATGCAGATCAGCTCAGTGCAGCCAGTTCCAGTGACGATCTGAAGGGCGATTATGGCCAAGATGGACACCGGAGCTCTGTCAAGGAGCGGGCGGCCAGGTTCGGCTCCCTCGCCATGCAGAACTCACAAATGGGTTCCATCATGAAGCGCTTCTCCTTTTCTCAGAGGAATAAAGATGAAAGTCCATCCGAAGGTTCCACACCTTCTGGGCAGAACTCGGCTGCCCCGTCTCCGCAGGTTGAAACCAAGATATTTGACCCCCAACGTAAGCCAAGTCTTCAGCATCATCAGCAACAGTCTTCTACTGGGAAAAAAGTGCAGGTTCCTGAGATTGTGGATAAGACGTTTTCAGCGGACCTCCGCTTGCCTGCTGTAGTGCCCCCGCAGACACCCGAAGTTCGGGAGCTGGTTCTCCAGAGGCGGAGCACTGGAGATTTCGGGTTCTCCTTGCGACGCACCACCATGTTGGACCGTGGCACGGATGGAGGGGTATATCGCCGAGTGGTCCACTTTGCGGAACCAGGTGCCGGCACCAAGGACCTGGCTCTTGGTTTGGTCCCCGGAGACAGGCTGGTGGAGATCAACGGGCGAAATGTGGAGAACAAGAACAGGGATGAGATCGTGGAGATGATTCGGCAGTCAGGCGACACGGTTCGGTTGAAAGTTCAGCCCATCCTGGAGCTAAGCGAGCTGAGCCGATGCTGGCTGAGGAACACCGAAGGGCTGCGGCGGGAAGCATTTGACGTAAGTCCACACTTTCTCTCTCTTCTCTCGTTCATGATCACAGTCTTTCCAGGTAACTCCCCACAAGCCTGCCCAGCTCTTACACATGTGGAGCCAACTGGTTCTTCTCAAGAGTACAAGCACATCATTTAAAATGAACATGTTCTTGTGCAACAGGAAGCAGATTCCTTTCCAGGGTGAACATCTGTCACAATGTCTAACAGAATCTTTTCTTCCTCCTGCTTTCCACAAGTGATGGTTTTAATGACAGGCTTTGAAACAGTTTTGATTGTGTTTTTCTTCGCAGTTTGTTGTGCAATAGTTGGACACAATGCGACAGTAAATTCAGATTTTCCTCGTGAAAATTTCATATGCAACAGCACACAATTTACAGTTTAGTTTTGGTATGTAACGATAAATTGCGCTTTGCTGTTGATGCTGGTTAGGCACATTCTTTTGTGTGAGATGAATGGGCGGCACAGCTCTTTCGTTTTTCCTTCACAGAGGGGAAACCATTGAGACTTATCTGTCGTGTTATGCGCTGCTTCCTTGTTAGATAACAGATAAGAATGGCACTTGGGCGTAAATGTTTTTTCTTTCTTTAGGATGGGTGGAGGTTGTGTCTTTATTAACTGGCCTGTTTGCCATTACTTGGATGGATTCAATCTGGCATGCTGTCGTGCCAAGCTGCACATGTAGATGCTGAGACAACTCACAAAGCTTCCTCCTACAGTAACCACTGAGGGCATTATGTAACTACACTCGGATTCCTAGCATTTAGCAATGTTGTTTACTTGCTTGGAAAAAACAGTACATTCAAATAACATACTCTTTTGCTGAGTAACATGCAGTTAGGAGACCTCGATAATTTGTTAAAAGGTATTCTGAAGCTGTCTGTGAAACATGAGAGCTCACAACAGAGAAATGTGACACACAAGCGAGCTTTGAAACCGAATCAGAGTGCATCTGAATCATTAGATGTGTTTGTGTGGGGAAAAAAGGTGTTGGTCGTTTGATAATTATTCCCTTCAGTTTGCTGTTTGCTGACAGTTATGAATTTAAATGGTCCCTTTGCAGCTACTGTTTATTTCTTCAGGGGATTCACAATCCTCTAAGGGTTCATGAGAACTCTGCTGTGGGTTTACAAGATGCAATGCCCAAATTAAATTGACAAATAAATGTAAATATTAAATAACATTTAAATTATTAAATAATAATTGATTAAAATAACATTAAATTATTAAAATAAATGATTAAATAAAATGATTAAATCATTAAAATACTAAAATATTTAATTACATGACTTATGTGACATTTATATTTAATAAATGCATAGTGTTATAATTTTAGGGGTTACTTTATGTAAATAATGTATGTGATATTAGCCATTCTCTGACATGAAGCACATTAAACTCGTTTTACAGTAAACAGATCTACTATTTACACATGTAACGGTTTTCCTTTTATCCATATTGCTGCCATTTATTTGTTAACACCAAAATGCTGTTAACACTGTGTGATGTAATTCGTCATTCGTTTTTGTGTCTGTCCAATTTGGCGACATTTCTTTCTACACCGCAGATAATCACAATATTTAATGTACAACTAAACTGTGTTGAGTAATTGTGTCAGCTCCTTCAGAAACTCTTTGACAGCAGACTTATGTCAGAACATTCTAACACATGCTCAAACAGCTATGCTTATGGCTTTAATCACAAAAGTCAATGACAATTAAATCAAATCACCTCTAAATGTAAAAAATGTTGTATTTACAGAAAAAGTTGCATTTGTCGATTTTATTTATTTATTTGAGAAAAATGAGAAATCCCTGGCCTTGACGGTTGCTTTTGTAAAATGTTGGCCAAATGATCATTTCGATTGAGGAATAAAGAGTGTTAAAAGGAATCCTAAGTGTTTTTGTACTTGTTGAAACAGCCCCTGGTCTCTTTGTAGTCAGTCATGGCCTAGAGCAGGTGAAGAGCAGCTGTATTTCTGCAGGCCGAACTGACTTACAGGTGCCCGACAGCAAAAAGACAGAGCACTTGGACAACTTTATCATCATCTTCATCATTACTGCATTTACATGATAGAAAATGAGCTGTATAGCCTAGAGTAAGGACCTGCTTCTCGGGTTCAGCATTTGTCCACATGATAAATCTTAACTCAAGCACTAACGTCAGGCTAATGGTACTATCCTACTGTAATGGGCTTAGAAAAATAAAGTGATCATCAGCCCTGCCTGTTTATGGAACCGCATGTTTGTGAAAGGCTTCCTAATGGATTTTTCCTATGGAATAGTCTTAACTTTCATTGATAGGCCAGATTTGTGACAGCATCATAAATGAAGCACTTCCAGGAAACTCAAAATTTGTTTAGCTTAAAATATTGAGTGATTCTTGCCCATTTTGTATCGTAACAATTAGAACCAACCGATTCATCATGTGCTTCTGCAAATTAGTCGGTGGCGAGCACCTCTATCTCATACCAGAGTGGGTCTGCTGTGCTATTTTGGGTTTTATCAACAAACAAGAGGGACTTGCTTTGCTGCATAGTTCTTAGTCAGCCTCCTCGCTGTAGTCATTATATGGTTCATTACATGCCTCAGGTCAGTGAGAGTATTCTGTGCAGGTCACCCTGACTCTCGCCCCACCGTCAATTGCTCTCTCGTCTTTTGGCAAGCTGTGCTACAGGCATTGTCTGGAACATCTAATATGTCCTCTGAGAGCATTCATTTTTAGCTGCTTTTGTTGTGGATCTGTTTTAAAATAAGGACTGGCAGAATGTACTCCAGTGTGTGGAAGTGATTGTTTATTGATTGAAGTGATTGTTGACAGCAGCGATTGTTTATTAAAACGCAATATTTTCATTAGGATAGACCAATATATCGGCCAGTCAGGTTATTCAGGTGATATCTGGCCATTTTAACCAGTTTCACTTGGCTGAAGTGTTCTTCATTTTACTTTATCCCACCCAGATTCTACTGAAACTTGTTATTGGATTGTATTTCTGTTTGTTGAAATTCTTATCAGTTTTTTAATTTAATTTTATTGAATTAAGTAAAGGTTAAAAGGGTTGGTTCGACCAAAAATGAACCTCGTGTTGTTTCAAACCCTTAATACTTTTGTTCATCTTTGAATCACAAATGAATGTATTTTTAATGAAACTTTAGAGATTTCTGTCCCTCCAATGAAAGTCCATTACACCAAAACTTTGGCGCTTTTGGCGCAAAAGTAATCCATATGAATCGAGTGGTTTAATCCAAGTCTTTTGAAGAGACACAATCTCTTTATGGACTGGACTTTTGGAATGGACTTTTAATAGAGGAATAGAGATCTCTTAGGTTTCATTAAAATATATCCATTAACCTTTTAATAACTTTAAAGTGTCTTGTGCTATTTTTAAATTGTATTATGCGTAAAACATTATATTGGCTAGTATGGCTACCCTAACTTTACTTTTATTGACACCGGCAATTGAGAAATCCATATTGGTCATCCATTAATTTACATTTCACTTTTTTCAACTTCAAAACAACACTCCACTATACAGGTGCATCTCAGTAAATTAGAATGTCGTGGAAAAGTTCATTTATTTCGAGTAATTTTATGGTGTGGTTTTAAGGTGAAGATTTTCATTTAATATTTATATTCGATTTTATCTCTGCTTTATTTCAAATTTAGTTTTAGTTAACAATAACAACACAGATGTTAACATGATTTTAGTGTGAAAAAATTGCTTGCTTACCTTTTCTGTGTAACTTTATATACACTTTTACAACTTTGTTTCATGACAATGGAATGAACTTTAAAACCCTAAAGGAATTTTAAAAATAATTCAATCTGCTTTACAACTCAAATAATACAAAGATTTTTAACAAAACAATAAAATTGTAGGCTTCATGTTTCTGCTTTTTGAATACTCTAAACTGTTTACTTCCATTGCAAGTGCCCACAAATAATATTTAGTAATTTTATGGTGTGGTTTTAAGGTGAAGACTTTCATTTAATATTTATATTCGATTTTTATCTCTGCTTTATTTCAAATTTAGTTTTAGTTAACAATAACAACACAGATGTTAACATGATTTTAGTGTGAAAAAATTGCTTGCTTACCTTTTCTGTGTAACTTTATATACACTTTTACAACTTTGTTTCATGACAATGGAATGAATTTTAAAACCCTAAAGGAATTTTAAAAATAATTCAATCTGCTTTACAACTCAAATAATACAAAGATTTTTAACAAAACAATAAAATTGTAGGCTTCATATTTCTGCTTTTTGAATACTCTAAACTGTTTACTTCCATTGCAAGTGCCCACAAATAATATTGTGATAATCAGCATTATGCCACAAATGCTGCTGTTTGAGCATAACGTGTACAGGGTGTCTGCGGGGTCTTAAAAAGTATTAAAAGTTGATAAATCAATTTAGAGAAAATTAAGGCCCTTAAAAAGTCTTAAATGCCTTTTTTCAAGATATTAAATTTTGTATTATTTTTTCATTATGTATATTTGTCCGAATAGTAGGGTTCTGTGTAGTTTATTAATGGAATCCCGCAAAATTTGACGTCATCCGTTACGGCTCTCACTGACTGACTGCGCCGCTGTGTGATAGCGCGGGGCTTGTTGATCCCGCTCTCGCTGAACTTCTGACCATTACCGCACGCTCCTGCGATTTTTGTGTCCGCTCCTTTTTTCAAGATATTAAATTTTGTATTATTTTTTCATTATGTATATTTGTCCGAATAGTAGGGTTCTGTGTAGTTTATTTATGGAATCCCGCAAAATTTGACGTCATCCGTTACGGGTCTCACTGACTGACTGCGCCGCTGTGTGATAGCGCGGGGCTTGTTGATCACGCTCTCGCTGAACTTCTGACCATTACCGCACGCTCCCGCAAACATTCTGTTATTGTATGTAATACAATATGTGAATGAGCTCTCGCAGTCGCAGTTCACTTTCGATTTCTTGATCGTGTGCACACTGTGTAAAGGGAGCACATGTTATGATAAAAGATATTT